CTCCATGAACATCTTGAGTCATCCTTCACCTGACAGTTTTACAACCATGAACACTGATGGATCAATGCTTATGACAGTTGAGTCTTACATTCATCATTAACCATGTGACTTGGGAATGAGAATGAATATCTTGGACTCCCCACTAGTCAGTTAGAACTGAAGAAGACTCTTGGGTAAGAGGTGAAATGTCTTCAAGAACAAAGAGAGAAGCAGAGTTGTCCTCTACTGAAGCGCTTAGCATCACTGTGGATGAGCTGAATGACTGAGCACCTACACCAACATACTCTCATGTTTCAGAGGATTCTGTAATGTGAAATCATGTGTTAAACGAGTCCGCCCGGCTGTGGTGGATGGAGTTACCTCTGCTGGTAGGAGTGTCGGGAGCTCCACGCCGCCTGTCTCTGGCTGCGGACACTCTGCTCTCTGAAGTACTGAGCATGCAGCTCCCACTGCTGCCGCCACCGGGCCTCCTGCTCCCGCTGCCGGGCCAGCTGCTCCGCCAGCACTCGGGACCGACTGGGCACATGGGCCGAGAACGTCGGCAGAGCCATGGACCTGAATCACAGTTATAAGTAAATTTAAAAAACAAAGCACGAGCAGTGATTAGCAAAAAACAAATCCTAACTCACAGGCTCCAACTTAACACTGCATTAGCCAAACAGTTTGTGTGTTCACTGAGCCGTGAAGGCACCACAGTCCCACAAAACACCAAGGAGTCTTTTACCTTCACACCACCGCTAATGTTATGTGTGTTTTGGCCATGAAACGTTTATCATATAAGGCCAAAAAAAGAGAGAGAGAGAAAATAAACATTACGAGCAAAACGTCAACAGCTCTCACTAACCAGCAACGCTTTAGCGGTTAAAGACCTTGTAGCTCCACAAACACCGACTTCTACTCCTGTTGCTCAGGTCGACTGTCTCCGCTGAATGTTTATTAGAATCATTCTGCAAAGCTCACCTTTAACAAAGTCCGTACAGACTCCTATATAACGTCTCTGCCTTTATTTACCCTCCTTAGTAACCAAATCGCTTCCTAGTTACTCCCACGCTACGGGATGCAATAAAGGTCAAAATTGCTTGCTGGGCGAAAACGCGAAACCTATTTTCTTCCAAATATCCGCGTACAAAGGCGTTTCTTGCTCTTTTCTTCTTTTTTTGTTTTTGAAAAATATATAAACCATATTTTTCATTTTAATTAGTAACATGTCTATATAGTCTATATAGCTCTTGCACAGATAAACTTCAACAAAAATACAGCAGCATTAAGTATTTGTAGATGATGTATCTGGCCATTGATTTGTGATGCACATTTGTCTCTCAGCTCTTTTACTGTAGGAGACAGGTTAAAAATCGTTGCAATATCACCAGCGTTATCAGCCAAACACTAATGATGATAGTATTGATGATGATGATTGGTATTATGAGTGAGTGTGATGTTGTTATTGGCTTGTAAAGACACAATATGAGACAACTAATGCAGGGTAAACAGTATTATGCTCTCCTCCCGAATAAGATAAACTTTATTTTCACATTTCGATATTGTTCTGACTTTAACTCTAATTCAACTGTTAGGTAACACATACAAAGTATTTTAGATGTTTTTTAACCCTACAAAGTCATGACCCTACAAATATAGGCATGATACAAATATTTGCCTTAAATTTTAAACTGCACAACTGTTTGTTGCTCTGAATGCAGCATGGAGTAACACATACAGAAATCATTTCAGATTTTTTAAAAATTGTTTGATTATTGCTGTAAGTAATTTAGAACAGACAAATTTGATCACGGAGCTATAACTTTGTTGTCATTGGTATTTAATGTAATCAAATTTTAATTAGACCATAGTGTACATAATCTATCAGAAATGTAACATTAGCAATGCTACATATCCAAAATAACCGATGTCCCTGGGACGCTTCTTATCCCATATCAGAGGGGCATTTTGCTCAAAAATCTTCATCTTACATTTTCACATGTTACATTTATGTTTTAATTAAAGGATAACCTTTCATCAGATGCTCATGTAAACAGTAAAAAGTTTGTATATGTGTATTCCTAAAAAACCAACAACAACAAAAAATGTAAACAAAAAAAAAACAAAAAACACACACACACACACACAGACTTATTGTTGCAATGGCAAAATATCACACCCCATACCTTAAAACCACTTCTTCTTCCCAGACCATTACACTTATTTAAGATTAGCACGGTCACTATCAACAGAGAAAAGACCTGGAACGAAAATTGATTATATCTAGTGGTCCAGTCACTGTACATTTTTGTAATACTTTTACTTTCCAGTAGAAAAATAAGATTTCCATTACAGATTGACTAAACTAAACATTGAGGTTAAAGCCCTACAGTGTGCTTTATGATATGGATTTACCTGAGTAATTTAAATATGAATGATGGAAACCCTAAAAAATGTAAATAAAATAGATTTTTTCTTGACAATATGATATATTATATATCCTACAGTACTGTTTATTTTAGATCACTGGACTAATTATGCAGTATCATCGATTATGTAGGTAAGTGACTCATTTAGTACTAAAAATATGACCCTACACACCTCTACATGAAATACCCACAAATCCAAGGACTCCCTGGAATTTCCATGAGCAAGCTATTTTTCTTTATTTCAAATTTTATTTCAAATTTAAAATAAATATAATGTATAGGGAAATTAAATCAAAACACTTTGTAATTAGAAAACTAAATGTAAAATCTTAATAAGTGGACCCAGGTCATGGGGTCATCTTACTTCACAAGTTATTTAGATCTGTACAAATTCACTACTTATGCCAAATTTAAGTTTCACATTTTGCTGCTGCTCTTACTTTAACTGCAACATACAGGTTAGGTAACACGTACAGAGAGTAGTTTGGATTATTTTAGATTTTTGAAGTGATGACTCTACAAACATAAAAATCAATTTGACTCATTTGAACCCTACAAACACATATGTATGTATGTATGTATGTATGTATGCATGTATGTATGTATGATCAACAATGAGGGGGTCATTTACTTCAGTTCAGCCTACTACACTCATTCTTCTATTCAAAGAAAGTGAGTTAACAGGGGTACTTATAAAGATCATTTTAAAATAAATAAATAAGTTCTACTAAGTGTAACTAAATAGCGATATTCCACAAAACTCCATTAGTTGGCAGTAAAGCAGCATAATGTGATTAAGCGCAGAGGAAGAGGAGTGTCAGCTGATAGAGAAACATCAGCTGCTGGTCTTGTGTTTGTTCTGGACTTGAGTCCAAGCGCCGTTTATCGGCCCTTTTACCCGACAGGTGGCGATGGGCCGGATCTATCAGAGGAGCTGCACAGGCCGGGTTCAACGCAGGTGAGACAGGTGTGTGTGTGTGTGTGTGTGTCTGTGTGTGGGTGAGAGAGAGAGAGAGAGAGAGAGAGGGAGGAATCTGCTTGTGTGTGTTGCTTGTGTGTGTTGGTTCTCCTCCTCCTGGTGTCACTGTGAGTCTGCAGTGGAGGGTTGACAGCCTGTTGCTCTCATTTCAGAGGTAAGAGTGTGTCCGGACTAAAGAGATGGCTCTGCTAATGGAGCACCAGTTCAGACAGCTGCCAGCTGACAGACAGGTGGAAACAAGACCTTTTCTGGAGGCTGTGTCATACCTTCCACCATTCTTTGGTAAGTGAAGTCTCCACAGTGTGACACAGTAGAGACCGTGCTCCTGCAACTGCAGCTATGTTAGGAATAAATATGAAAAACACACCATAAGATGTCAGTGAGTGCAGAGAGAGAGGGGGAAAAAAGGGGGATTTTCTACACACATTTACAGCTGGCTTGTGACAGGCTCATACAGATTGATGGCACTGACTCAGTGATATCGAGCGTGTAGATTTATTAATAATGTACAATCTGAGTCTTGCTATCTGACTGCAGTTTTGTGCCTGTTCAAGCACAAAAATGCAGCGTTTTAGTTCAGAATTAGCCCCTATCCAGTGAACCTTTGTACATTTTTCATGTGGGATTTGTTCAACTTTGATTAACAAACACAGAACATGCAGAGAGGGTAAATCTGTCACAACACTTCCACGAAGCTTCACAAAACCGTTGCCGCTCTTTCCAAATGATAATCTTTTTTTGGATCGTATTTCTCTCCATCAAGCTGTCCTCAATCCTTTCGCATGCATAATTTAATCCACTGGCCTGGATTTTAAGTTGTGAAAATTGATTAGTACGGTGTTGAGTTCCCCTTGCCCATTCACCAGTGGCATGGTGCGCCAGGGCATCTTTGTGCGACTTCATTCTGTATTAATATGCCAAAGTCCCTCTATTGAATTTGCCATGTGAAACCCTTGAGATGAACCAAGTCTGAAGCCGATATTAAACTCTTTCCTCCTTGTCACCATTGTTTTTGCCTGACCTAGAAATTTCTGCGCCAACTTTCCTACAAGCCATTAACATCCTGCACAGTCATAGCACATTCACATAGGTGTTTTAAATGATCGTCCCTAATTAGACTTCTTGTGCACGGCACAGACGGCACTTGACTGACATCTCTTCACTCTGCTGTTAGCGCTGTTTCACCTGTCATTTCTTGTTGTGAGTATTAAGTGACTTCGGCAAACTCCAATCATGACTCTGTCCAACATTCAGGCCTAATTAGCGCGTGTTCTTGTTAGAAGTTTATTCATTTCAGTTTGATTAACTGTCTATAGTTTCCACAAGTGCTGCATATTTATCACAAAAGCCTTTGTCCTGTGACGAGAATGGAAATTACAGAGAGAGCCATGCAGGCCGAGGACGTCTCTGAAATAAGATATGATGCCATCATTGTAGCGATGCACCACATTGGCACAATGGGTTGGACTTAGTCATGAGTAGTTTCCACTAACAGCTCAGGAGCTGAAAGCTGCCTGTTGTGTCAGAGGGTCATCCAGGAGCCGTGTGTGGTCGGGCCTCCAGATGCGTCATTGTCCACAATCCTGCCACCAAACACTCAGGTCCTTTAGCGGCCTAATTAAAGGACACCAAACGATAATACCGCAATGTTGTGTAAGTGGAAAGACAAAAGGCAGCAGAAGGTCTCATCCAGTTGGATCTTCTTCACCTGCCAGGATTGTTCTGTTATCGTAAGCTGCAAGAAAGTTTAACCCCTATTATTGTTGCTGTTGCATTTTTCCTCAGTGAGGGCTCAGTTTTCACTGCAACACAAAGTCCTGCTTGTCAATGGAAACAGTACAACCATGACCAGAAGTAAAGGGAATTACATACATCACTATAAAGAAAAAAAAAACTTAAATCTTTTTAATTATTAATTTTGCAAATACTGGAATCAATTCATGCCCACAGGTCTACTAGTACTAACCCTGAAAAAAATGGTGGCTCTACATTTCATAGACACTACTTATGTTTACTACAACAAACTAGACATTTACTACCATGCACTTCAACTCTAGAAAGATGTTTCACCATGCTGAGTGTATCTTCCAACAACTTGCTCCTCTCTGTGCTGTTTTTGCATTGATTATGTTCATCAAGTATGTTTTATTTTCTTCTCAGTCTCTCAAATGTATTTTCCCATATTTGTCTCCTTGCAACTGTTGGTCACAAATCAGACACCAATGTTTTTTTTGGTTACCTTTTAGTGTTTTTTAGGTACAAAGTTTATTTTCGGTAAATTCTTTTCATGCAAAATGAAGTGATTTTGATAGAACGTAACAGTTTTAGTCTTAGATTTGGATCATTTTCCTGATTAAAACCACATTAATCCAAGGGCCATCAGAAAGTTGAAAACCTTTCTGTTTTTATAGTTTCTGGCTCTACGAAATGGTATAATTTTGGTGATTGCCTCTTATACCTGCTGGTGGGATTGAGGTGCTCGGATTGTTCAAACACTTCCTCCCAATAGAGCCGTTTCACAGCATATACTTTGACTTGTCTAAAGGCAAACTGCAGGTCAAACATATTTAGTTGAAAATGGTTCAGTTCCATAAGATGTCCCAGTAAAGCATTGACATTAGGTTACAAATCAATCGTGTTTCCAAGTACAACAAAGCATGATGAAACTTCAAGCCTGTTGTTGTATCATTCTTTGCAGTTGTGTCGGACAAAATTTGTACAATGTTCACATTTCAGTATTTTCTCATCTGCTTGGTCCATCATTCACTAAAGCTTTATCACTCACACTGTAAAATAAACTAAATATTAAGATCCAGAATGCAATTTATTGCCTGCACATGTTATCTGTTTAAAAAATGATCACCAGTATGCTTTGTGCATCAATTTTTTTTTTACACACTTTCCTTTAAATTCTTACATTTTAGCAGTGTGGGATTTAGTTTGCATGTAGTGCAACATGAGTATTCAAAGACAGAACTAGCTAGAAGTCCACGAGGATGGAGAGGTCAAGAGCTTAATGTAGGACTTTCAAATATCAAGATGTTGTTGTAATCGTAATTCATTTTGAAGAGTTGCTTCTGCATGAAGAAGTCAATTTAAACATGACAGAAAACGCCAGTGGAGCTGACTACATTTGCATCCGTCAATGACAAGTTTAAATATTAGGCATTTTTCGTGATTGCAAATGTATCAAGAGCCAATCCAAACATTTGTATGCAAACCTGCACTTAAGTCCTTTGAGCTTATGTGTTAATTGATAGAGGTTAGTGATCACTATGAGAAGCTCTGTAGTTTTTTGTCCTCTGTGCAGGTTTCTTACATCTTATGTAAATATTCCTCCTCAGACTGCCTTGGCTCTACTATTTTTGCACCAATCAAGGCTGACATATCTGGTAACATCACAGTAAGTATAATTATTCTTTTATGTGACTTTATCTGCTCCTCTTCTCTCATATCTATCATTAACATTACAATGCAATAATATTTTGCCTGATAGAAAATCAAGGCAGTTTATGATACCAACCCTGCACGGTTCAAGACACTCCAGCAGATATTGGAGGCTGAGAAGGAAATGCATGGAGGAGAATGGCCCAAAGTCGGAGCAACGTTGGCACTCATGTGGCTAAAAAGGTCTGAGATATTTTACATCTGAGGTGTTATAGACTGTTTGAAAGGCAGGTATCCATAATCACGATGCATGTCTCCTTTTTCATCAGGGGTCTAAGATTTATCCAAGTCTTCCTTCAGAGTCTGGTGGATGGTGAAAAGGATGAGAGCAACCCAAACCTCATTCGAGTCAATGTCACCAAAGCCTATGAAATCGCCCTCAAGAAGTATCACGGCTGGTTGGTGCAACAGCTCTTCAAGGTGAGCATCTTTTATGGCAGATTCATGACTTCTTCTCAGGAGAAATGTACCGCTGAGCACATCAAACACACAGAGTTGTTTGTGAATGCAACACTTGTATTTGCTCTTTCAGGCAGCTCTGTTCGCTGCTCCGTATAAGTCAGATTTCCTGAGGGCCCTCTCCAAGGGTCGGGATGTCAAGGAAGAAGAATGCATGGAAAAAATCAGAAAATTCCTCATCAACTTCTCCGCCACTGTCGATGCTATTTACGAGCTGTACAACAAGATGAATGCTGATCTTGACTACACAGTGTGACGGCGGGACGCTCCGTTGTCCTTAAGTGAGCCACTCAGTTTACAAAAGTCATTCACATTCTGCAGTCTACGTATCGACATGGATCCCTTCAGGTCGTCTGACGGCTCACAGGGGGAGTGCAGTTATGATATTACACTTCAAATACTTGTGCATTTTTAATTGTCTGTGTGCCTTTTCTGGCTTTTTTTTTGGTGCATATTTTTCCTGAGCAGCTGCAGATATGTATTTCCTTACTCCTCATTTTAAGAGCCTTTAACGTGTTTAAACTCAAAAGTATTGCCAGATGTTTATGATCACACACACTCTCACATATGTCTGAGAATTGTATCAACTAAAACCAGCAGCAACACTGTTAGAAAAGCAGTGAGATGGATAATGTGGACAAACAATCATGACTGAATATAACGCAAAACATCAAACACGAAGATACTTTTCATTTCTTAAAATTAGGTTTTAACAGTGTTAAAATCCGTCACGCTGATATGTCTGCAATGATTTGTAACACAAGAAGGAATCAGACTTCGCTTATTTGTAATCATACAAAAAATGAAATCATTTATAGTCATAGTACCTGTAAGCAATAGTAGACAGACGGATAACATCCCTAAAGTGTACAACTGTTGCTTATATACTGAAGCAAGCATTCCTTCAAGACAAGAAGTCACTACTTCCATCTTATCCAACAACGCTGTATTCTATAGCTGTCCACGATTTGGTTGACATTTGTACTTTTTAATGAACACTTTTACATGACGTTGTGTCACGTTGTCGTAAGTTATACAAAATGCAGCCACTTGAACCAGTATCATGACTTTTAATGTTGAATTTTCTTTGTCATATACAGTTTTTTTTGTGTGTGTGTGTGTTTCATTTGTTGCTCACAAACTAATACTGTTGTAAATGACACACCTGTTTGTGCCTTAAGCTGGAGGTACGGCTCATTTAAGTGACCATTTTCTGCCTTTAGTCGTTTATATTTTTATACATGTCACCTTGTATAAACCAGGCAGGCAAATTGAAAAAAAAAATATTTAGTATAACTGGAGGTCTGGTCTGCCTATGATGTACTTATCTGCTATGCAGGACGTCCATATCTTTGCTACCTTTCCAAAGCGATGCTTCACAAGTTGTTTTTCAGTCCACTCTGCTCTCAGGTGCTGACGTTACGCTAAATGTGTGTTTGCTTTAAATCTCATTGTCGAGAGAAGTTTTTCATTACAATGTGTTGTTTTTGCCTCTGTCATTGGCAAATCTAAGCTAAATGTCTCCTGTGATGTTTAGCCCAGAGATAAAAGGCTTGTCTGATGTTTCTTGTGGCATTATGTTGCAGTGTGTGTACAGTGCAAAATCTTGTACACTGATGTTATGTAATAAAAATAATAAGAAATTATGCGTCCATTGGGATATTTATTTCTTCTTTTCTTTCGTTTGTGTATTCTTTTACTTATTGGGCATCTCTACAAAGTTTCTTCATGTTCTCCACTGTGTAGAAGCATATTGATGCTTTGCAGTGTAATTTTGAATTGTGAATACTATTAATATTTTCTGCTAATTATTTCTGCACCACTTTTGTACTTTTAATTCCCCTGCTACTGTTTGACAGCCATAGTTACATGAATATACGTGAAAATCATGCATAAAATAATGATGGCTGAACTTTTATTTGTAATGAAATATTTTTTGAAATCAGATTTTCCACTTTTATTATGATCTCAATATTAGAGTTTACATTGAGCCTGATGCTTTCTTACACTCAGAGGTATAAACATGTATTTCCCAATGATGTCATAAGCAGTAAAACAAGAAAAGGAAAACGTGGCCCCTGGATTTGTTCACTATTAGAACATGAATACTTATTTATCTTTCCTTATTGTTCTCTTTGGCTGCCCTGTCACATCCTCCTTCCAGGAAAATATTAAACTCCTGTTCTCCACTCCATTGTGTGACTCTGAATAGTTGAGAAATGGGCCAGTGTCCATGATGCTGCTGCTGCCGGTAGTGTGTTCATTCAACAGCTACCTATAAGGGCCACTCCGGGATAGAAAAAACAAGGTCAAGAACTAACTTTCAATCGCCATTCTCAGTCTGCACGGATGAGAAGTCTTTAAAGATGAAAAATTTAACATGAGGGTTTCCTTGACAACCGGGCAACTACATTTTTCTGACGGCTTTAGTTATTACTTACTTTTCACATTTTCCATACCCTTTCTGTAAAAACCATCTATTACTACATTGATGATTTAGAATTATAATTCTTCTCATTGATTGAGTGTTACACTGTGAGTTGAGAGCATTCTCTTTCTAGATAGATAGATAGATAGATAGATAGATAGATAGATAGATAGATAGATAGATAGATAGATAGATGGATAGATGGATAGATAGATAGATAGATAGATAGATAGATAGATAGATGGGTTTTTTTAAAGAACAATGATGCTACAAAACTATGATAATCTTATAAAAGACGATGCCATGCCATTCGTGTATAAAGCACTTCAAACTTCACAACGCTCATCATCTACTGCATAAAATTCAACATACACATTAACTCAGCACTAATTTGAATCCAAAACATCATATAGAAAATATATAAAACACTGGCAGGGGATATTTTTCTGCACTTTTAATTTTGATATTTAAGGTAAATTCTTCTGGTAATACTGACATACTGTAACTTTAGGACAAGATTTGAGGACTTCTTCCATCACTGATGCTGGAGCGCCAGCATCATTTATAAACCTTCTGGTAAGACTGAGTGAGATTTGAATCTTTGACTATTACTTGAAGCCTTTTTGTTCATTTTAGGGATTTTTAGGAACATAAAAAAGCAAATGACACACACATAGACTTCATATAAAACATCTAGAAGCTCTATGGACACACATGGAAGGCCTGAAGGCAACATATAATCCTCTGTTTGTCTGCTGATGTTGAAATGGGAGGAAGGAAAAACATCCTGTTGTAACCATAATGTCTTGTGATGACATATAAACAGCACTGACCAGTATTTGTATTTCCAGGAGTGACTGAAGAGGCTGCAGAGAAGCTGAATGAATCTTTTTTCAGCCTGAGATTTGTTTTTTTTTCTTTTTCTTTCCCACCCACCTCAGACGTCCCCCAGCGGCCATTAGCGGTACTGCAGCTTCCATTTCCGCGTTCTGCTCCCAACTTCCAGTCAAGGTAGCGGTGACTTTGTCCCACCCAAAATCTGTGAAAGCATCCGTTGTTCCGCTGAACCTCAACCGCGATCGGATGGTACAAGAAGCCGGGAAACAGTGTAGTTTAGTTAAAAAAGCGTTTTCACTTGGCTGGAGTCACATTGAAGCTGGAGAGGAGGAGGAGAGAAAAACTTTCAAACTTGGGAACTAATCTGTGGAGCATTTTAAAGGATAAGAAAAAAGGATCAGCTGGTTAGAACAAGGTAAGGAACACCTCATGCTTTCTAGGTGCCTTCCTCAGAAAAGTCTGCATCCAATAAAGATGTTTTACTGTGTAAGATTTTTGGCACTTTAATAATTAATGAGAGGAAACTTTTTAAAATTGCCTTGAGTGTAGAAATTGGAGTTTATTAAGCACCGTTTTACAATGCTTTTTTACTGTTCTTTATTACTTTAATATCCTTTTGCAGTTTTAAACGTTAAAATCTTTATGTTCTTTTAATTATTCCCACTAAAAATATCAAGTATGGATATTTATTGATGTGTATTTATGTTTGTGTTATTAGTGCAATGCCTTTAGAGGCTTTAAAATCTTTTTTTTTTTAAGGTTGGATTTTTAAAATTTATTTATTGGTTTATTTTTTTTTGCCTGTTTTTCCTCCCAGCAGCTGTTTGGCTTCAGGCTGAGCCTCCAGCTTCTCCTGCTCTCTGGATAATGTCACATCAGCGGTGGCAGAGCAGGAACTCCCACATCTCTGAGGGGACATTAGACTCAGTCACATTTAGAAAACTTTCCCATGTGAATTTTCACTTCCTGGCCAAATAAGCGGATAATATGCGAGCTTTGGGTCTACTTGGTATTTTATGGTTTCTTTCTATCACTCTGGCAGTTTTAATGCACAGTGGGCTCCCTCTGCCCTCAGACACCTCAGTTAAATAATGTAATCCTTTGTCCCGGGTCCTGTAATAGCAGTTCATCAAGGGCAGCCTGTCTTTGCTTCTCCGTCTTTTCACTATGAAATGCTCGCTGAAGTGTAATGGCATGATAATCCCGTGTGTTAGACAGGCTGGTTAGTCATCCCTCTTCCCTTCGCGGGACCCCAGCTCGTCCTGTTGGTGTTGCTCCTTTGGCAACAGGCTTAGATAGCGTCGTGAACTAACTCAAAGTTTGAAGGGAAGCTGTGCAAAACCTGTGTGTGTGTGTGGAGAAGCTGGGAAATGTAAGATTACTCACAACCTCTGATGCAGGACATTCATGTGTTTGCGTTAAACAGGCAGGTGAGGTGGTGTGATTCTGCCTGCTAGAAAAAAACACATTCCCCTGACCAATGAAAGTCCAGACTAGTATTAGTTTTGGCATCAGTCCTCTGTTAAGCTTTCCATATATCCAGTCCCCAGTCAACAGAGTCCTTGTTACAGTATGTCGTCTAGAACATACAGATGATTTGCCTGTGCTTCTGTTTCAGTGTTTCTCATGCTGGTTACCCTCTTTCTTGTCCCACAGAGCGTCCACATGCTGCAGCGTCGTTTCCAGTTTCCCCCGAAGAGGAATTTTGCACATCATTGTGAAAAAAGGGATGAATGAGGTACAGAGTGGTTAAATGGCAAATGTATTCTTTGAAACCTGTTTTAGATTCCAACTGGGGATTTCCACAGTCGCTTTGGTAATTGTAGTCTTAGTATAATTTCTCATTAGTTAAATAGTTTCATCATTTCTTTCAGGTTGCTTGTCATTTTGATTAGTGTACAAATCCTACATCACCGTCGCTATTTCAGGGTTTTCTAAAGTGCTGCCTGTGACATCCACCTGTTCTTACAGCCTCCAAAAGGAAATAAATGTTAAATTACAGGCTGATTAGCAAAAGCATAATTTGATTTAGCAAATTATACATGTCATCAGCGTGACCATATTAAAGCTGCCATCGAAATAAACTGATCGTGACAAAAAGTTGCATTAGAATCTCAGCTGAATAATTTCCTGGATTGTACTTTCTTCTTTTGAAAAGTCCCATTTAAAATCACACTCACGGCATTTTAACGTTAACAATGACAAAAAAAAAGGTTGTGAGAGATTTTCACATCTTGCTGAATTTGAAACTTTGCATGTTGCCGACTGCAGCTGGAACCCATGTCTCTTATTTGTACATCCACTGTCCTCATGTGACCTGGAAAGTGATCAAGTCTGCCATTACCTCTTTTATTCCTGCATTGATTGCATAGCAAGAGCACACACATGTGAGGGATTGAAGCATGGGAGTTTAAGAAGAACACGCACCTTTTTAAAACAGAAATAATACAGTGACAAAAGGTCCCAAAACCAAATGTTTCAGGTGACAGTTTCTGAGTTATGTAACATGTATGAAGTAAAACTTTCCTTTTTCTCATTATCATAAATACCTAATTGAATTTAAGCGTGTTAAAACTACTTTTTCCATTTGAACAAGACTTTCCTGACTACCTAAAGGGCACGCAGAACATTTTCTCATGTTTTTCTTCCAGAGCCGATCTGCTCTCCTCAGAAGGTGCCACCTTGCCTTGTCCAAGGCCGACACCCTTGGCTCTGTTCCTGCCAGAGCTGCCCTCTCTGAGGACTCTGGAGATGGAGTGGCAGCGCAGCCTGAGAGTGATGCAGCCTTCCCGCTGTCTGATTTCTCGCACCTGTTTGAGAGCGAAGATGGCTCCCCATCAACTCAGGACACGAGCCAGGATTCAGCCCTGGAGCTGGTCCAGCCCGGCCAGCCTGTGGACGGCAGGCAGAATCTGCGGATGAAGTTCCAGGGTGCTTTCAAGAAGGGTATTTCCAATCCAATGGACCTACTTGAATCAACCATATATGAGTCCAATGTGGTTCCAGGCCCCAAGAAAGCACCCATGGACTCTCTCTTTGACTATGGTACCTACAGGAACACAAGCAACCAGAAGAGACGCAGGAAGAAGCTCCCAAGAGGGTGAGAAGAGCCTCACTGTCTCTAAACTACAGCACCTGTGTGTTTAATAACCGTCTGTTCCTTTTAACATTTAGGTTTAGGGGTTTATTTTTCTGTCTTAACAGTAGTAAACCTATACTGGACTTTTTTTTTCCATGGATACAAGGGCTAGTTTGGAAAAATGTTGTCATAAAAACAAAAACCTCCTACAAATGCCACTCTGTACACAGAGGTGTGCCACATGAAAAGGTATGTACACACACACACACACACACACACACACACACTATGGGCCAAGCAGGCCTTCATTCAGCTCCGTGACCAAACAGAGAACATGTTGTTGATTCCTCTGCAGCCGTTGAGGTAATATTTAGGCTGCTGCCTGTTCCTGGCTGCCCTACCTGTCCCATACACACAGACGTCCATTTATTGGGGCACTCAAGGGTGTGGGTGATTGCTTAAAAGGTGGTTTGTGCATCAAACACCCATTTTATTCTTATTTTTTTGTCAGTAAAACATAAAAAGGAACCATGGATTCAAAGGGAATTCTTTTGTTGGGGCGGCTGTGGTTCAGGTGGTAGAGCAGGTTGCCCACCGGTCAGAAGGTTGGTGGTTCGATTTCAGGCCAAATTGCTCCTGATGACATGCTAGTGCCTTGCATGGCAGCTCTGCCACCATTGGTGTGAATGAGAAACACATGATAAAGCGCTTTGGAGAACCACGCTATGGTTAAAAAGCTGCTGTATTATTGTGGACCATTTATCTTACAGCACGATGTGTGACATAATTATAAGCCATGTTTCTGTGTCCTCGTAGGAAAACTGAGGCATCTTGTGATGATGGTCAAAGCTCGGACCCACCAAAAGTCATGAAAATATTCAACCGCTCTCTGCTCTTCGACTCTGTGTCACGTGGAGACCCCGAGGCCCTCGAGGGCCTGTTGGAGTACCTGCAAAGTCACGAAAAGAGGTTAACCGACGAGGAGTTCAGAGGTAAGACTTTTAATGTCTTAGTAAAAAAAAGTGGTTTGAAATGCAGAAAATCTCCATTGTTCTTATTCTGTTGTTTGTGTCTGCTCTCAGGCGGAAACCAAAAGCGCTTTATCTTCTGGCTGCTTTACCTCTGACCTTTTGTCTCTCTGTGCAGTTGTTGTTGCGGAGGATGTGAGGGGGAAAAGGTGGAGCGATGTCAGGGTCTTTGTCCGATTAAAAGCAGGCCCAGGGAAAGCTTCCTGTGTGTGTCTGAGAAGTTTTTTCAGGCTTATAACAGGGAGGAGTTAGAAATCACAGCAAACTGCAACTTTGTGAGAGAGAGCTAAATAGGGCTTTACCATTTTTGTTTTTTCAAACTGTGAGACTAATAATAGGAAGGATGCATTTGACCTAATTGAACAATTTCATTGCTTTGAACCCCAAATCCTTTTTTTGCATGTAAAAATTCCTGAAACTGTAGCTATTGTCTTTTACCATGTACTCAGTGCGTTTGCAAAAACAACAGGAACCGACTTGACAGTAGATCACCAGCAGAGATACTTAGACGTAGGGCCCAACCAGTGCATTGGTTGGTCGATATTATCAGGTTACATTGGCCTATCACAGACATGTTGACATTGACATACATGTTGTCTGATAAAAGCCTTTTTTTATATTATATAATGTAGAAACAAAGTTGCTTGGCATGATTTAGAAAATGTGTCATCACCTGGTTTTTGTCCAGCAAAGAAACCTGGAAACCGGCTGCAGCACATGTAGCAGAGAACGTATCAAAACAGAGGAATCAGTGGTGCAGAGTCAGCCAGTGAATTTATAATAGTTAGCTCACCAGTTTGTGAAATACAGAGCTGACACATTCATAAACAATGATTGCTGATGTATCAGCATCGATAGTGGCATCGGCCCCAACAAATCCAGTATCGATCGGACTCTACTCAGGGGTATGTGGAGAGAAAACATCCTCATATTGAGAAAGCTGAGTGAACACCAGAGGTTACATTTAAAAGTGAGTCAAAACTGATTAAAGTGAGCAAACAAGAGAGAAACCTTAAACAGTTAAGTAATGAGTAAACTGTTGAAATAGATAAATACACATAGATGTAAACTTGTCTGAACACTGAGGCTATATGAGATAATTATAACAGGAATATCTAGTCTTTCATCAGCAGTGCTAAATAAATAACCTGGTAGATTGGGTATGAAGATGTAAAAGTATTGACTATACCAATTAATGATAGAAGTCTTTAGTATTTATCAGCAAAGACTATTCAAGGCAAAAAAAAGGCCTTGAAGAGCATCTGATTTCAGATTTTCTTCACTTTTCTTGTTCTTGACCCCAGTGCAGCACTTCCTGTTATTTCCTCATTATCAGTGGGGATGTGCTTAAAGTTCATCTGATAAGTTGCAGATTTCCTTAAGGGGTGACTAGAAAAATAGTTTGATGCCTAAATGGGGCTAAATAAAGAAACAAGCAGTCATCTTCTCACAGTTCTGTCCAGACCAAAACTTTTTCTTTCTTCTCATTTATTATTTCTACCAGAGCCATCGACGGGAAAGACGTGTCTGCCCAAAGCTCTGCTGAATCTTTACGGTGGTCGGAACAACACCATCCCGCTGCTGGTAGACATCGCAGAGAAGACCGGAAATCTCAGAGAGTTCATAAATACGCCCTTCAGAGACGTCTATTACAGAGGTATGAAAACGATGACATGCGGTTACATAAAACTCATCCGACTGTGACCCTTCATCTTCCACCGAGTCAAAGCCAGTAGACGGTTTTTGTTGAGGGATGGGGCCAGACCAGGCTGCCGGTGAGGCCCATTTACAGGGAAAAAGGAATGTATTCACAGTATGTATGTTTACAGCGACTATTTACAGCCCTGTAAAGGAGAACAGCCAGGCGTCATTTGTTTGGGTTTCATCCCTGACATTATTAGTTGTGAGATAGCAGCGAGTCTGTTCACCCTGTAGCACCTTGTAATACAAAATGTGATTTAACTGTGCATTGTTAACTCACATTTGGCGGTTTATGTAACTTCTAAGAGCTTTTATTACACGTTTTATGTGACAATGTAAAACGTTTGAGGGCACAGTATCTTTGGGTTTTACCCCCACAGAAACATCCCGTATATAAATGTAGCCCGAACCCTTTATAGCTATTAGTTCTTTTTTTTTTCTTCCACCTTCACATTAATAATTATCATCAGTTCCTCAAAAGAAAACAGCCACCTTTCTGTTGTGTAACTGCCTTTTTGCCTCGAGTATGTCTGTCGACATAATTAACTCCACACACCTCAATTTAGTAATTAGCTCTTAGGAAATAAATTCTTTCTCAATTAAACACAGAAACACAAAAGCAGGGATGTGCAATACGTTCGGTTGTGGTGATGCTTCTGTGTTGCGTTTTCAGGTCAGACGGCGCTGCACATTGCCATCGAACGGCGCTGTAAGCAGTACGTGGAGCTGCTGGTGGAGCAGGGAGCCGACGTTCACGCCCAGGCCAGGGGACGCTTCTTCCAGCCCAGAGATGAGGGGGGCTACTTCTACTTTGGTAATGACCTTTGTGTGCACAATCAGCTTTATTCAAAACAACGGAGTTCATTGTGCTTTCGAATTTACAATTTTTTTGACACACCTTGTCCTCTCAGTCAGTCAGTCAGCGACTTCTGGGAAGCTGCTACTGTATTTTCTGCCTCATATGTCAGTAATGATGTGGTCTGTCTGAGGTTTCCATGACTTCACTGGTCACATTTTCAATTTCCACTCCGACTGCCTTCCTTACAAGTGCTTATTCTGTCTTTTACAACGCCGGATTGACATCAGTGTTTTTGTGATGTGTGCTACAGCAGCTGCCAACATCAAATAATTAACACATGGTACATTTTCTCTGGCAGAAGTAGTCCTCCGTTGCCATGGGGAAATGAAGTGACATTACACCCCACCCTTTTTTAACTTTTTTTTTTTTAACGTGGCAGGTTTTGGCAGGACTCATACAGTCAGGACACTGCTGCGATCCAGCGGTGAACTCCACCTTGTGTTCAAATGTTTTTTTTGAAGTATCGTACGAGAAACCGTCATCAGTTATGCTCCGAAAACACACGCAAAGACCGGCATTATGTCATTCACTCCCCAAGTGTGTCCAGTCAGAGGTGTCTGTGTTCTGCAGTTAAGAAAAGTAAACATCCTCTGCTGGTGGGAGGCGCTTGGATGACCTTAACACATGGAGGAGAAATAAATCAGAGCTGGTAAACTAAACCCAACACTGCCCTCTGCTGGCTGCTGTTCAGATCTTCCTTTACAATACTGTATATGCTACTCAGAAAAAAAAACATGTTATTATTTATGTGCCATTTGAATTTTTTGGATAATAGTTGTAGCATAAAATTGATTTAAATTTCACTCCCCTAACACATGAACAGAAATGTAGATTTAAAATATTATAGGCTCTGGGTTTGTTTTTTGTTTTTTTTACTCAACCTGAATTTAAGAATTGCTTATTTGATTACAATCAGGCACCATCTCCCTTACTCATCACAGAGGAGATGATTTCTATTTGCACTTAGCATGGTTGTCAATCCCAAATCCCAGCGTGTCCGGGCACAGTGTGAGTAATTTGCTGCGGAGCTTTGCAGTGAGGTGAACACGAACCTGGCAGAGCTGATGGCTAATGGGATTTAGACTCACGCTAACACTCTGCATGCACCCGTGCAAATCCATGAAGAGGAGCGTTTCTATGCGAGGTGACAAAGTAATCTGTCACCCATGGCAACGGCTCATTTTCAGCAGCTGCTTTTGGCACTCTGGCCCCATTGCGCCCCTCCCTCAAACAACTGCTAATTGTGCTGTTTTCATAGCGGGGATTTAAGTCAGATCTTTGATCCATGTTTAGTATGCTTTGCTAAAACATACAGACGCCAGCTACAGTTCTTAATTAACCCTCCTGTTGATTTGCTTATTTTTAATCTGAAATACAGTTCCCTTAATCTCCTGTGATTTCAGAATAAAGTGAGTGCTCTGTCTCTCCCTCTGTGTGTGTGCTCAGGTGAGCTGCCTCTGTCACTGGCTGCATGCACCAACCAGCCCGACATAGTGCACTACCTGACTGAGAATCCGCACAAGAAGGCCGACCTGCGACGGCAGGATTCACGTGGAAACACGGTGCTCCACGCCTTAGTGCACATTGCAGACAACACCAAGGACAACACACGATTCCTCACCAAGATGTACGACCTGCTGCTAATCAAGAGCGCCAAGCTCTACCCAGACTGCAGCCTGGAGACGGTGCTCAACAACGACGGCATGTCCCCTCTCATGATGGCCGCCAAACTGGGCAAGATAGGGGTAGATGAGTTTACATTGGAGCAATTAGAAATGTGTCCATCATCACATTTTTTTTATTGTATTATTAAGTTCAAATCAAAGGTCAGGAGGTCAACGTCTCCATTTTTCCCTCCAGGTTTTTCAGCACATCATCCGACGCGAGATCAAAGACGAGGAAGTTCGTCACCTGTCGCGTAAGTTTAAGGACTGGGCTTACGGTCCGGTGTACTCCTCCCTCTATGATCTGTCTTCGCTGGACACATGTGGAGAGGAACCATCTGTGCTGGAAATCCTTGTCTACAACAGCCGCAATGAGGTGAATAGATGTTATTAGTTGTCAGAACAGCTGAAATGAAAAAAAAAGCATCAAAACCCCAGACATGACAAGAAAGCATACAAAAAAAAAACAACACAGAATATGAAACATTTATGTGCATCCGAATTAGGATTTCTGTTGTCCTATATTATTTTTTATTACATTTCATCCGTGTCATGTTTCTTCAGAATCGCCACGAGATGCTGGCGGTGGAGCCCATCAATGAGCTGCTGAGGGCCAAATGGCAGAAGTTTGCTGCTGTCACGTTTTACATCAGCGTGGTTTCCTACCTCATCACCATGATCATCTTCACCCTCGTGGCTTATTACCACCCAACACAGGGAACGGTAGGTGTGAAATTACTGAAAATGTTGAATTTTCAAGGCCCCACAAGTCTTTTTTTTTTTTTTTTTTTCACCATAGCAGACCACATGCACGAAATGTACAACAGTGGCAAATTGGTGTTCCAAATTTGCACCAAGAGACCATTTACTGCACTGTATTTAAGAATATTACATTTGCTGCTGTTATATAGACACAAAATGTGAACTGAGCTGAAGGTAGAAGCAGATAGAAACTCTAAATTGTTCGTCTTTGAAGGCAAAGTGTGACAAATTGTGGGTTTACAGGAAATAACATGCTAATGCTAAGCTGAGATAACCAGCTGCTGGCTCTGATAGGTATTAGACTGATAACAATCTAACTCTTGGTGAGATGGTGACTAGACGTTAAATGACAAACTAATCCTTTAAGTCACTGTTTGGTCATATCAGCTTTCTTTCTTCTAGATGGTGTATTCTGTTTATATATTGTGTTTAATTGCACTGACTTCAATCTCAGGGATGAAACCTCATATTACTGTCATTGATAGTGCCTCGTCTTTCTTCCCTCCAGCCTCCGTACCCCTACACCACATCCTCTGACTACTTGCGAATGGCAGGGGAGATCATCACGTTGGCATCAGGAATCTTCTTCTTCCTCACAAATGTCAGTCAGTTCGCTCTGAAGCCTTGTTGTGGTTTGATCATGGCTTGCTCGCTGCCATCTCTCTGCATCCATCCACTAACAACAGTGTCACTGTAGAAATGTTCCTCCTGTTCTTTGCAGATTAAGGACCTCTTTCTGAAAAAGTGCCCTGGAGTGAAGTCTTTATTTATTGATGGATCCTTTCAACTGCTGTAGTAAGTTTCCATCCTCCGTCCTTGCAGCCTCCTCATCCTCACCTCCGTTATATATCTCTTGCTGACTTTTACCCGAGGCAAATTTTGCATCCTCTTAATTGAGTCATCTAATTAATTTCTCAGCCTCCTCCCTGGCATGTTTTATAGTTTGAATCTTTAATTAAGCGCGTGATCCAAACAAAGAGCAGCGGATGTGGAGCACCTCTCTGAACCGCGCTGATTTAAATCATTAACCGTGATGTCTACATTCTGTTAAAACGCCAAATAACAGCAATTACATCTTCCTGCCTTCGTCTATTACTTCAGCATCACAGGCTTGCAATAGAAAGTGGTTCGCTGACAAAACTTATCCTCCGTCCTCTCTAGCTTCATCTACTCTGTGCTGATTGTCGTCACAGCTGCTCTCTACCTGTCTGGCATTAAAGCCTACGTCTCTGTGATGGTGTTTGCACTTGTCCTGGGCTGGATGAACACACTCTACTTCACCCGAGGCCTGAAGCTCACTGGCACCTACAGTATCATGATACAGAAGGTTGGATAATGCAAACCGACAGGAAATTAAAAATATGATGCTGTATTGAGTCGTAACAATTTGTTGTCGTTTTTGATTCTCAGATTCTTTTCAAAGACCTTTTCAGGTTCCTGCTGGTGTATGTGCTCTTCATGATTGGATATGCATCAGGTAGGCTCTTGTTTTGACAGTTTATAACAGTCTAACCGTAGTCTGGTGACGACTTTGGCTGCACAGGTTACAATAAATCATAACTTGATTTAACCTATTTGAGCTATTTCATCTGTATGGAAACCGTAAAAATGAGAGTTAATCATCTCATCTCATTGAACTAGACACATAACACAACCTCCTGTGTTTCCACCCCACAGCCTTGGTGTCCCTGCTGACAGTGTGTCCTCCACCGGGGACACAGTGTGATGGGGACTGTCCCACCTACCCCAACTGCAGGGACCCGGACACTTTTAGTACCTTCCTGCTGGACCTCTTCAAGCTGACCATTGGGATGGGAGAACTGGACATGATCCACAGCGCACAGTATCCGGCTGTCTTTCTCGTCCTCTTGGTCACTTACATCATTCTCACCTTCGTGCTGCTGCTCAACATGTTGATCGCTTTGATGGGGGAGACGGTGGGGCAGGTGTCCAAAGAGAGCAAGAAGATCTGGAAGCTTCAGGTGAGCTAGTTGTTTATGGTGGCTGGTGATGAAGGAGTCTCTAGTCAACCCTACGTGAGGACAATGAAAATGTGTTGCAGTTTCCATCTGATAAATGTTATGATACTTCTTCTATATGTAAAAACGATGATGAGACTAGAGAGAAGGTCAGGAACTCACTAAAGACTCCTTTAGGTACCATGGATGTCTACCAGATCTCACGACAATCTAGCTTTTGAAAATCGTTCATCATAAAGATTTAACCAAAGTGTTAAGAACGTTGTTTAAATAACTTGTACTCACAGTGGGCAACGACCATCTTGGACATCGAGCGATCATTCCCAGTCTGCCTTCGAAAGTCCTTTCGAGCTGGGGAGATGGTGACCGTGGGGAAAAACTGGGATGACACACCGGACCGACGCTGGTGTTTCAGGTATTTTGCATGACTTGTAATCACTGTGTCTCAGGAGCACCAAAGAACTGCCAATCTCAATGGTGTCTTGTTGTGTCAGGGTGGATGAGGTTAACTGGTGTCACTGGAATCAGAACTTGGCGATAATCAACGAGGATCCGGGAAAGAATGAGACCAACCTAGTCAATGGGTTGCAGCAAAGCGTCAGAGCCTTAAGGAGAGGTAAGATTTTCACTGTTTTCTCTTGGCTTTAAGGTCCCATATGGTAAAAGTCCTTTTTTATTTAGTTTTGTACGTCTTTAAACCTTGGAGATTAAATAATAGCTTTGAAAATATAAACAACTGCCGTTCCTCAAGACCCCTTCAACTAGATAGCCTCCCAGCTTTACAAGCCAATCAGACTGTTATCCACTTCCTGTGTAGAAACAATGGAACCAAAAGTCATCCAGTTAAACTTATGTATTATCCTGCCCCTCATGCATATTCTGACATGAGCGATTCAGAACAAGCAACTGCCTTATAACCTGCCAGCTTTATTTATTTTCTAGAACTACTTCTGCTAACTCTAAAATGTTCAAATCAAACCACATTAAATGTTCTACTGGTGGCTGCAAGAGTGAACACAAGAGTCTTGGTGCACTCCCAGCATCTGAGGAACTCAAGACATCATGATTGAAAGAGTCAAATAGTGACTGAAATGCAGCCTTTTAAGACTACATGTTAACCAGCAGCCATTTCCTAGCTGCTGCTCTGCACCGCTAAAATCTTGATTTCACAACTGTCTGACAAACTCATTGTACAGCTCAGTTCAAAACAATGGCTGTGCTGTGAATTATGTGATAGTTTTATATAAACTCAACGCTCTGAGAGAAAGTCAGAAGCGAAAGTGCTGGTTTCACACACTCATTTACATCTTTGTCGGCTGCCGTGCGGTCTAACGTGTCTCGCTCTACCCTGTCAGTGATAGAGAGAGTCTTCTTCCTGAAAAGGGCAGCAGCAACTTAGTCGCATTTAAAAATACAAACACCGAAGCAGCTCGTTTAGAGTAGGGATGCACGATACATCAGTTTTGGTCTGATGTGAAAAACCGATGATTGTCTAACATTAGCGCCTTCATCTCTACATTTTATATTGCTGCTATTTCACAGACGTTTTTACTTAAATGGTCCTTTAACGTTAAATATGTTAAAATATGTTTTACTTTTGTTATGTAACAAAGAAGACTATGTGGTCCTGTCCTGATGTGCGTGGCGATTTTGGTGAGTTTTCGAGCATGCTTGGGACCTCAAAATCGCGTTTCAAAAGTCGGTAAAACAATAATAAATTAAAATTTAAAAAAATAACAGTAATAATAATAATAATAACAATAATCACAACGGTTAAAATAGGTCGTAAAAAGTCATACTATAGCATGTCGTTTTTGTCAAAAAATCTCACGTTTTAGAATGTCCTGAAAACGCATCAGGATGTAGTGTATAGTGGGAAACGTGTCCTGAATGTGTTTAAAGACAGCTTTGGAAGGTACTGCTGGAAAAAAAAAGCACATTATGTATTTGGGCCTCAATAAAATGATTCAGAATGTCGTCAAAATGTGTCAGGATGTAGTATATGGTGAATATACTTCAATGCATGTCGTAGAAATCACCTGAGGAAAGTATTTCACAAAGAAAAGTCATTCTGAGTTTTGACGTGAAATAAAAAAGTCATACTATAGGGCTGCTGCTATAGCTCACCTGGTTGAGCTGGCATCATATGTGTAGGGCTACAGTCCCAATGTGGAGGTCATGAGTTCAAATCCCGCTCATGACCCTTTCCCTATAGG